GTGTGTCGGCGGGCTTCTGCGGTGCAGCTTTGCGTCTCACTGCTCTTATGTCACACGAAGTATGGACCCAGAGAGTCTGCTCTGAGTTTTGTCTCCAGCTGTGCCTTTTGCCCGAGTCACGTAACGCTGCTGCGTGTTTTCCTGGACCTTCCAGTCACCTCCTGAGACGGCGTCGTCCCCCCGCAGGGGCGGAGGCCGAGCTGGTGAGCAGCCCGGGCGCCTGGCTGGCCTAGTGCACTGCCGGTGGCGAGCAGTCCTTCGAGGCTGGCTCTCCCATGGGTCCTGTCACCTCCTCAGCGTCCCTCCTCGTGACTTGTCTTCCAAGTCTGGGTAGAAGGTGTCATTCATCCCCAACTCGCACACATAAATACGTACGACATTCTAATTTCCGCGCTGTGCTCGTGACTCATTTCTATTCACTTGTATTGCTGAAAAGTTGAATATAAATCCCATTTAAAATTAAAAGGTAGTTTCCTTTTGGGGTTCTCGAAAGGACCCAGCAAACCAGACCCCGTTCTGGACACTCCAAGAAATGAAACAAGCAGAGCAGGTGGGGTCGGGGAGCCCCTTTATTGCTGACAAAGCCAGTACTGGGACAAGGGCTTTATCTGCAGGCGAATAAGAGTCCCAGCGCTGAGCCAGCTCTGGCCACTCGCCTGCCCAGCCGGGGCAGCCTTCCAGGTCAGCCCGGCTGGGGGACAGGAGGGACACACCCAGGCGGCCGCGTCAGCATGCCGGTGCAGTCCCCAGCCTCCAATCAGCACCGTGCCTCCTACCACTGGGCCAGGGGCAAAGGCAGTGCCCCCTGCCCCCATTCCCCTTCATCAGAGACCATCGACGTTAATTAACGCCTCTTGTCCCATGTGCGTGAGGGGGGTTGGAGGCACTTAAAACGGGCACGAGCACCTCGTTGGCGACATGTCTAGAAGTAACGTACATGATGCCTTTGTGCTCTGACTTGGCGCGGTGCATTTCACTCAGAGCAGACACCCTCGGGTCAGCGGTGAGCCTCGGCCACCCCACGGGAAAGGAGACACATGCCGTCCGTCCCCACACAGGCTCACACGAGGTTTGCCGGGGGTCTCCTGACCATTACAGCGTTCCCTGAGGTCAGGCATGTGGCAGGAAGGCGAAGGACGGCACTCTCGAACCTGGGTGGGGCTCTGGGCGGGTTAGAGGCCCTGGTGGATGCGGCGGCGGAGGTGGGCATGGCTCCTCGCCTGCACACCAGGCGGTCCCTGTGGAGCCCTGGGCCCCTAGGGGTTGGGACAGCCTGACCCCAAGGCCCAGAGCCTTGGGGCACCAGTGTCCTCTTGCCAGACTTTCACTCAAGAAGAAACCCAGAGCCATTCAGGAAGAAACAAGTGTGTGTGCGGGGGTCAGTACCGCCCACGGTCTCTGCCATCACAGGGGTCTTGGGACGTGTCCCTGCAGGTGAGGGGGACGATCTGCATCCCTTCAGCCGATCCCTTTCTGTCTTTGCCCCTCATCTCTGTCCCCCGAGGGTCGGGGTGCTATGTATGCACGTGGTGTGACGCTGGTGCTTACTGCCCAGCAGTGAGCCAGCGGGAGCCGTATGGGGAGGAGGCCTGCTCGTCCCGTCAAAGCTTAAGGACAGGCGTGGGCCCCTGGGTGAGTGACGTGGCCACCACTAAGGCGAGCGAGCTGGGGGAGGAGGAGACTGGCTGGGGGGGCCGGGGGTCAGGAGCTTTTCTCTGTGTCATATCTTAGTGCATTTTGGGTGTCTGCGTGGAGGTGGCAAGTCGCCAGCTAGATGCTGGGTTGGGACGCGGGTGGTGTTTGGTGGGGTTCCGTGACACGCAGGTGACGTGTAAAGCCGTGTTGCTGGTGGGACCCCGTGGCATGTGTGGGGAGAGAAAGGAGCCCGGAACGCAGTGCAGGCACATTCGAGGCTGGACAGGAGAGGGAGCCCTGCAGGAAGAGGAGGGCCAGGAGGGGCGGTCACATGGGCTGAGCGGAGTCACACTTGGCGTCATGGGGGCCTGGGGAGCCTTCAAGGAGTGACCTGTGGCAGTGTGGGGCAGCAGCTGCCCTGGGGAGCGTCATGAGCCAGCTGCCATGGTGACAGCAGATGGCTCCTGCATGACATGAGGCTGGCCAAGGAGGGTGGCTGCGACGTGGGGCGGGGGCCGGAGCGGGCCGGCGTCACGGGGGGTCGCTCACACTGGGGGCTCCGGTGTGCGTGCTGATGGCAGCGTGCTGCAGAGAGGGGCCGCCAGGGCTGCTGGCTGCCTCGCAGCTCAGCTGCTGGTGGGGCCGGGGCGCCAGCAGGATCTGCGCCACCGTGGGGAAGCCCCCTCTGAGTGCCCCCACTTGCCCAGTGCTGTGCGGGCCTCTGGGAGGGGAGGTCGCAGGCGAGATGTGAGCGACAGTGGCCAGTGGGCAGGAACTCAGAAGGGATAGAGGGTTGCTGAGCGCGCTGACGGCCGTGACGCTGGCGGTGGCAGGCCCTTTCCCAACTGCTCCGCCCTCCGGCGCGCCTTCCGCTCCTGACGCCCTCCGTGCCGCCGTCACCTGAACCCACAGCTCGCCAGCTCAGCGTGTGTGGTCGCTGCTGCCTTCAAGGACAGGCACAGGCGCTATGTGGCCGCCGTCATGGCCACACACGGCGGAGTGCAGGCCTCGCCGGCGCTGTGGCCGTCTCCCGTCTCTCACTTAGAGTTTAACATGCGGTGTCACTGCTGAGATCAGACGCTCCAGTCTGGATAGTCGTGGGCCTGACACCAGACCACGGAGCACGCATGGTGGCCCTCGTCGAGTGCTGATGGCTGCTGGCGACTCGGGGCTTGGGGGTCCAGAAGTCAGCGTTCCCTGCAGCGTGTAGGTCCCTGGGGGCCGTCCTTTGCTCTGTCTTGTCCAGTCTCCCAGCCTCTTAAGATCAATGTGTTTCTCTCTGATAAACGTCAGTTTCATGTCGAACCGCTTCCCAGCTGCCACTGGGGGCTAAACAGGTCAGATCACGTCCTAACTCCGAGCTCCAGGCCCAGCCGGAAATCTGAGAAACCAGGGGTCCCGTCACCCACGGACTGTAGCTTTGCGGGTGCTGGCAGAGTGGGTGCACGTCTGGACACCTCCGCAGTAACCGTGTCAAAAAGCAAACGTGTTTGTTTTCAGGTTTTGCCAGTTTCCGCAGGAAATCGTCCTTCAGATGGTGGAGCGGTGTCGCATCAGGAAGCTGCAGCTGCTGGCTCACCAGTACCTGATTTCCAGCAAGGTCGAGTTCTACATCAGCGACAGCCTGCCCGAGTATTTCATGCCGTATCAAGCCGAGCGGTTCCGAAGACTCGGGTGAGGAGGGGGGTTTCGACATACGGCGGTGACGTCGGCCTCGGAGCCACTGCACACCCCGCACCGCCCTGGCTGGTCTGTGTCGCGGGCATGTGTGTGGCCCGAGGTGACGCGGTTTCCTGACACCCGCCCCGTGTTGACGGCCACGCCGCCGTTTTTTATTCAGCTCCCCCCCGCTCCTCAGAGGTGAACTGGCCCGAGAGGACCGTTAGAATTCGACTTCTGGCTTTTTTCCTGGGTTTTCTTTCCAGCCCTGACTTGCGTCTTAACCTCGTGCAGGGGGTCGAGGGGTCGCGGGCCCGAGGGCAGCTCCCCGGAGCGGGCACGTCCCTGCCTGTGCGGGCTTCAGCCGTGCTCTCCCTTGCAGCTACGTCTCTCTCTGCGACAACGAGAAGACGGGCTGCAAAGCCCGGGAGCTGAAGTCGGTGTATGTGGACGCGGTGGGTCAGTTCCTTAAACTGGTCCTTCACCAGAACCACGCCAACAAATACAACGTGTACAATCAGGTAAGGCCGCGCGCCGTCCCCACGCTTCGCAGAGGCGTGTTCAAAACCTTCGAAGACGGTGCCTTCCGGCAGGACGCCGAGCTCTCCTGGAGCAGCCGCAGGGCTGGCGCGGACGGTGCACCCCGGGGCGCGGCCGGCGAGGTGAAGGGGACTGAGCCGTGCGCGGGGTGCAACCGGCAGGGCTCGCAGGGGCGCGGGAGGATGACTCGACCCTCTTCCCTCTGCCACTGCTGCGTGTGCTCACCAAGGACAC